ATGATCTTGTGCCCTCGGCAGGATATGGTAGATAGTCAGGCTTCTTAGCCTTTTTCATTTGTAGATGTCTGTACTCAGACATGTTAAGCTTCCGTTTGTGCCTTGAATTGTATGCTATGATTATTGGGTCGTGAGACCCATGTTTGTAATATTTCGCTCCTCGGAGCCTAATGAATAAATACTTGAGTCGTAGAGTTATGTTGTGATGCCATGTTGTATTTACACATATCGAGCATATTGTGTGTATGATTGGAATGCTTGGTATGTGTGGGATCTGACAATCTGGTTGTTTATCCTTGGCAGCCTCTCTTATGGGGAAATGTAGTCTAGTGCTTCCATGAGCCATAGTAGTCCGCTACAGCCCGGTTCACCGGAGTCCTGGTAGCCCAGCACTACTGCTCAGGGCACTTGACTGGCCGGCATGTGTTTCACTTCGTTCCTGTGTCTGTCCCTTTGGGGAAATGTCACGCGGTGACATCCGGAGTCCTGCCTAGCCTGCTACAGCCCGGGTTCTCGGAGTCCTCTTAGCCCAGTGCTACAGCCCGGATTCACACGCTGCTGACCGACATGCTCGATGTGATTCATGTATGCCTGTCCCCATAGGTTGGTGCCACTTTGGGTTCACGACTAGCCATGTCGGCCCAGGTTCTCTGTCATATGGATGCTAGCGACCCTATCATATACATGAGCCAAAAGGCACAAACGGTCCCGGGCCATGGTAAGGCGACACCGTGGGAATACCGTGCGTGAGGCCGCAAAGTGATATGAGGTGTTACCGGCTAGATCGATGTGACTTGGAATCGGGGTCCTGATACAGACTTCCACTCCAAGTCTCCTGGTTTGCATTTGTTCCAAGAAAGATCCTTGCGAAGGTTTCGTTCCATTTGGATTCCATTTGATATTCCTTTTATGTGAAACACTGAAATAGGCAAAAAAACAGAAACTGGAACTGGGCCTCCGGTTTATAGGTTAGTCCCAAAAATAATATAAAAGAGCATATTAAAGCCCATTAAACATCCAAAACAGATAATATAATAGCATAGGTCAGTTTTCTGCCCCGTTGCAACGCACGAGCATTTGTCCTAGTCTATATCTGTATCTATCTATCTATATTTATACCTATACCTGTACCTACTAATAAAGCAAGGTGGTATTTTTGGTTTCGTCCCGCTTAAATGATTGTACTATTTAGACTTTTTTTAATCTAATGAGGTGGTACTATTCAAGTGAAATTCTGGTTGTCTTTTCGTGCGATGGGAAAACATAGTCGGAAGGTGAAACGGCTCAACTGGCTGGGCCTCGACCTTCCTTTGATGGGCCTACTCCTGCCCCCTTGACGAAAAAAGGTGAAAATATATGTTTTAACTGCGTATCGAACTCCCAACCTCTGGGTTAGGCCACGAAGGCTATAGCCAGCCAGCCTATATTCAGATTGCAGTAAAGAACTGGTCCAATATATATTAGTCCCACGTCGCTCCTTTAAATCAAATATCACCAACTTATATACACACACGTGAGTTGTAGTAGAATCAACAAGCCAAGAAAGACCCATTAAGTCCAACTCAAAAAGAAAAAAGAGACCACATAAAGACAGGGTGTGGGAGGGAGGGACATGCACGGCTGGGGCTAGCGAGCTTTGTTTTGTGATTTCGAGCGATCGCCGGCCTCCAAGCCAAACATGCAGGTCAGTGAAGCTGCTATGCGCGTCGGGCAGCGGAGCAGAGTACGTACGTGCAGCAGCGGCCACTACTAGCTGAATTTCATATGCAAGCTGGACACGGCGACGGCATGATGGCTGGTGGTGGCCTTGAGCACTTTTGGCTGCGTCATCTAATTTAAACATGAGCGCACAATGGCCTTAGATACAACTTCCAATCATCTGGCACCCGCTGCTCCAATTAGTTAGGTTTTTTTTTACAATTTTGGAGATTGTGTTATTGCACAGAAAATTTGAGCTATTATGCATAATTGGTCAGTACAACTAATAATCTAAACTTAATGTTGTTCACGCTACACGATCCTCAAATGTTCCATCCTTTTCTGTCAGTAGAGAATATTCTTCTGCTACATAATTCCTCGACCCGGCCAACCTTGATCGATAGGCATCATTGTAATTTTCTTCTGTTGCAACGCACAGGTATTCTTAGTTTCATCCGACATCTGATCTTACGTTATGTAAAATACACGAGGTGGTACTAATTCGTAGTCAAAAAGGTTCGTATTGGCCATGCATGCGCTTCCTCGACTTGGGCCGCCGCCTAGATTACAATATTTTTAGTCCATCCATCACATTGAAGGAGAAAGCCAACCTGAGACTAATCTGCGGTTTTTTTTTTCGTTTTGGGAGGAGAAAAAAAATGTGCCACCGGCCACATAGAAGGACAAAGCCAACCGACCTACCATGCTTTTCTGCCATACTAAAGGGTTCCCCATCTAATAGTCCCACCTTGATTTTTAATATCAAATCCCACCAATTTATATGGATTTGCATGTTGTCTTAAATATCAGCAAGTCACCTCCAAAACCAAGAAAGACAGGAAACAGCATATCAAAAGGAGAGAAAACTCCATAAAATGAAGGGGACATGGACGATGCAACCATGTTGTATTGGCTCTAATTAGAAGGATTTGTGGGCTTGGCATGATGTGATTGGCTCTAATTAAATTAAATGAGAAAAAGAGCATGCATGGCTCTAATTAAATTAAATGAGAAAAAGTACATGCATAGCTCTAATTAAAGAAAATGATGACATGATAAAAGCGTACATGGAGGACGCATATGCCGCGTTGATGGGCATTTTGGTGAATGGCGAAACTAGCATTTTTCTTAAATCAATGCATCATTTTTCTCCCCCGTTACAAAACATGGCCCCCACTCAACGTCAACATGGGTCCGCC